ATAAAATATAAATTTATAAAATAACTTTTATTGCTAAGGATTGAAAATTTAAAACAAGGTTCCACGTAAATAGGTTATAATATATTAATAACTTTATTCACAATAATAGCATCAAATATACTTAGTAATATCATAGGTAGGCTGACTGACCCTCTTCGCCCAGAATCGATTTTCTTATACAATGATATTATATCATTGGATTCAAATTTAATACAATCCTTTACAGTGACTCACTAGTAACATACTGTACAGCAGAGCGACACCCACTTACCAACCCTTTTTAAATTTGTATTTAGATACATTATGTTTACATTATTAAATTTATTTATTTATTTATTTTTGAAATAGGCCTATAGCAACCTGTAAAATCAAAGTTGAAGATCTAAACATTGTTTCTCTATAAATCATATTATTGTTAAATCAAACATTTATGCCTTTGCTCAGAATCCAAAATCTTTAGCTGCCTAATAAATAAATGAAATATAACAATATGTAAACAAATTAAATGAATAATTTTTTCAATTTTGTGTTAAATTGATATTACACAAATATGATGGATGGAACTTTTAATTTGGTTAATGGTTTTCTCAAAAATGTATTATAATATTTAGTAATATTATTTAAAAGCTTTATGACAAATTATCTAACAAACATCGCGTGACGTTTTAAACATTTAAACTACCCATTTCACATAATATTAGTGTACAACATACATGATACATGTATACAAATACATTTATATTAACAATACAAAGCTATATACAGCGTGTTCAACAATTTAGGGAACACTGAATTTTTCAACTGGATTATATTGGAATAAAACAATTTTTATTTTACAAGTTAGTAGTATATAAATACACATTTTTAGATAAATTTCAAATTTTTAACCATTGTGGTATGCACATGCGCAATACAACTGTATTTTTTTAAATAACAACCAGTATTTTCTAACCATTCAATCATCAATAAAAATCGATTACAACAGTTATTTAAAAAAATATAAAGGTTTTAAATGATAAGATAATCTTAATTGGCACAGTTATTCAAATAATTTTGTATTAGGTAATTATAAGTTAAATTATGTTAATCTTGTTTATAGCGTGTAAAAATATTCAAAAAGTAACCAATAATAATAAATAACTATAAATGCTTCATGCATTTTTATGAATGATAAAAATTTATGATTTATCAAAATTAAAATGGCTCTTATTCAGTGAATTTTGGTTTTAGAGCCATGTTTGTCATTATATGTTAAAATGACTCAAAAACTTTCAGTCTATCCGAATTTAGTATCGAAAATACCGGTTGCTATTTGAAAAAATACAGTTGTATTGCTCATGTGTGTACCACGAGGGTTAAAAATTTGAAATTTATCTAAAAATATATATTTATATACAACTAACTTGCAAAAAAAAAATTGTTTTATTCCAATATAATCCATCCGGGAAATTCAGTGCTCCCTAAATTGGCGAACACACTGTATATATTTTAATTCACAACAATATACATACACAAAAAAAATTATAATAAAAAAAAACCACATAATTGAAAAATCATTCTGCTTTTAAAAAATCATTTCAAAAGTATTACTGGCTACTGCTGTATAATTCATTTTAATCCTTTTAATAAATTTAAATACATAATACATAATATACTAATATTAAAAACTATTTTATTATTAATTAGGTTCAAAAATCTGTTGATTAAGTATAGATTTTATAATAAAAGATATTCATAAGTAGTTGAGTAAGGCTCCTACTATAATATCAAGTAGTAATATAAGAATACATTTGGCTGTTGATAAGTAGTCGAGTAAGGCTCCTACTATAATATCAAGTAGTAATATAAGGATACATTTGACTATTTATAAGTAGTCGAGTAAGGCTCCTACTATAATATCAAGTAGTAATATAAGGATACATTTGACTATTTATAAGTAGTCGAGTAAGGCTCCTACTATAATATCAAGTAGTAATATAAGGATACATTTGACTATTTATAAGTAGTCGAGTAAGGCTCCTACTATAATATCAAGTAGTAATATAAGGATACATTTGACTATTTATAAGTAGTCGAGTAAGGCTCCTACTATAATATCAAGTAGTAATATAAGGATACATTTGACTATTTATAAGTAGTCGAGTAAGGCTCCTATTATAAAAGTTAAAGTAAATTAAATTTTAAAATGAGTGTATTAAAAAACGTGGGAAAAATAGCCAATTTCATTCAACAAAAATATCCTACATTGGAATTTGGCAACATAAGTGTTTCTAATGAGGCGATAAGTGACATTTGTATTGTAATATTAAAGAAAGACAATTGCAAAAAAGCTAAAAAAAAAAATTTAGTTATGGCATTGAATAATCCTAATTCAGCTCTGAGAAAATTTTTAGTTAGTAATTCAGATGATAAGTTACACTTCCATAATATACTCCAAGACAATGGTTATTCAAAAAATGATTTTTGTACTTATCAAACAGAGGTTGTTAACTCTATTTGTAAAATGTTAAAAATGAATTGTAGCCGTAAAAATCAACACAGAATATTTCAGCGTTGTCAAGAGAGTTTTCAAGAAAATGAAATTTCTGGTAGTCCTAAAGAATTATCTCAAAAAGAAACTACTATGTTAGGTCAAGTAAATGAACTAAATGAGAGTACTACAGTGTGTGTAAAGAGAAAATTGTTAATCGAAGGTTCTCCTCAAAAAGAAAACAATAATACATCTGATTTAATTGTAGATGAGTGGGATATTGATCTGATAGAAAATGTTCTTTAAATCAAAGAACACAATGCCATTAATTGTAACCCAGGTTTGCTTAGTATTCCTATTCAAATTGAAGATGATTGCTCTAATACAAGGGAAGAAATTGGTCAAAAAAAAATACCATTTCTATTGAATTCATTAATATCAATGAGGAATTGTTTACCACTCCTAAGAGGAAATCAGTTATTGTCATGGCTGAGAAGTTGTTTTCTTCTGTAAAGAGGTCTAAATCAATAGAAATAAGTAATACACCAAAAGCAGATATGGATGATTTACCTGAGGACTCAAAAAATGTGTGGGATACACATGGTTATACACAAAAAGAAAATGTTTATGAATTGGTAAATGTTGATAATATGGACATAGATTTGATAAAAGAAAATGAATTTGAAATTGATAGACATAGCTTTGACACTTCTTTACCAATCGAGGATAATGGATGTTATGAAATTGAATAAATTAATGTCACTTAGGAAAGGTTTACCACTCCTAAATGTAAATTCAATATGTCCTATACTGAAGATGACTTTTATACCCCATATATGTTGTATGGCTCTATAATTGTTTGTAACAAACCAGAAGAAAATGGCCATAATAACAATAAGGTTTCGATTAAAGCAATCAATGTCAATGAGGAAATGTTAACCACCCCTAAGCGTAGATCAAATGTTTCATTTACTGGAGATTTGTTTACCCCAGAAAAGAGATTTAAATCTATCTCTGTTTGTAACACACCAGAAGCAGATCTTAAAGCGTTGCCAAAGAACTCAAATAATGTATATCCCTTATAAGTAAGGTCATTCAATAAAATGAAAAATGTATTGTGTTACAAAAAGTGTAATTTTGTGGAATGAATTATTAGTTTACTTGATGAAGAATTTAAGCACATAGTTGATAACTCAATGGAAAAAAATAATGTTTGTTCAAATGAAATAAACGATTTGTTACGTGAAAAATTTGAAACTGTAAATAACTCTTGTGTATTGACTATCTAGAATAAAAATATTACCAAGAAAGGTTTAACATGTTATGGTATATGTCGACATGAATCTTGTAAGCAGTTTAAACTTGTGGTGGAGAAAAAATCAAAAGATTTTTCTGCACGAATAACAGTTCTGAGTAACAGTCACAATTACAGCCACTATGGTAAACTGACTACATTCTTGAAAGGAAAAAATCGACAAATACAAAAACAAATGTCAAAGTACTGCCCACCGATGAGTTTACGTCAAAAATATATTTTAAAAGCATCTCCTAGTAATCTAAAGCGTTTTAACTTGTGTAACATTAGGTCTGATCGTGTATATTATAAGGTGTCTCACGAGCAAAAGAGTCTTGATGATAGGGCAGCTGACGACAGGGTTGTTATGCATTTATTGAAAGATAATTGTTCATAATTTATTCAATATGTATCCGACCCGAAAGAGAAAGATTTTGAAACTTATTTATTTAGTCAAGATCAAGTTAACGTTTTAAGAAAAATAAAATGTATTACGATTCATGTAGATGCGACTGGCGGGGTGGTGAGAGAAACTACAAGAGATCCAACACTATTCAAAACAGGAAAAACAAAAGAAAAAATACTGTTGTATTATGCGGCTGTCATCGTGTGCAATAAGAGGATAATTCCAATAGCCGAATATCTATCGACTACACAAACTGCTAGTGCGATAACAAATTGGCTAGTGGAGTTTCTAAGATTCTATGAACATCAGTGTGGTATAAAGTTCATGGCACACATTGTCAGTGACTTTTCAGCAGCAATACTAAAAGGGTTTGTGAGAGCATTTAACGAATGTAATGAAGTCGTAGAATATTTGAATAAATGTTATGAGTTCATGTATGAGGGGAAAATATTTAATTGCAACGCACTGATAAGTCTTTGTTGTTGTCATTTAATCAAAAATATCTCTGACGATGCTCATAAATATTATAAAGGAAATGGAAAGCAGATGACTAATGGCTCTTTGGCATGCTTGGCAACTGCGTGTATCTCTCCAGCTTTCAACATAACTACCACGGAATGTCTGGACAAATGGTTCACTGCAGTTACAACGGTGTTGTTGTCGCCCGGCAAGTCTGTATATGTGGATGATGCCATGGAGACCTTGAAGCAGCTCAACGATGAAAATCCAAGTAGTCTAGTTGATGATCTAATCACAAAACAAAAAAATGTTACATTAGATGAACAAACAAGAGATGCTAAGACATTTTACCGGTATAAAGAATCCAAGTTTTTGTCCCGGTTTGAAAATATAGTCGTTCAGGTAAAAGAAATATTAAACATGTGTGGCAGCTATGAACAAAATCCATTGTATAGCATTGAATTTCACAACGATATCATGGGGTCTATCATTCCAGTGATTCCAATGTGGACAGGTGTGATGCGGTTCAAAGTATTTGGGTCAACGGACAGAGCAAGCAATGCTCCAGCAGAGAGTTGGTTTGGAGATTTAAAAACACACAAAAAGTGCCGGCGCATGAAATGTGGAAGATTTGTTCAATTGACTAGGAGTATTATATTGAGTAAATGTAAAGAAGTTCTGCTAGATATACCATCAAATAATATTGTGCTCTTCCTGCAGTTCAAAATAAACAAAAAAAAACTGCAAAAAAAGAAAATACATCATTTATCAATTTGATTTCGTCATCATCTGATGACAACGAGGAAAAAGAACATTGGGGACCTAGAAAGAAAAAAACTGGTTTCTACTTCAGGGGTCATTTAAAAAGCTGCTTCAAAGCAACTAAAGCCACGGATGGTTATGAACCATTCGTCACCAATTAAAAACGTTATAGATGATGTGATTTGTGTGACACCAAATGTAAACATGCTCTCATTTGATTTCATAAAAACTTATGACAAAATTGTAACTCCAAATACTAGAACATTATCAGAATCTTTTAATTCTATAAAAAGCTACAAATCTCCAGTAGACGGTCTGCGGTGCAAAATAGATTTATATGGAAATAGATTACCAAAGGATAAAAATTATTATGGTTCTATTTTGAAGAAAAACAGAAAACAATTGGATTATGTAGTGGGCATTTATAACAGTGTTAAAGACATTACTCAGTTTCATGAGTTATTATTTGGTGACTTTGACACACTATCAACGTATACACCTGAAAGTATAAATAAAATGTGGTTGAGTAATTTTGTTATTGATATAGCACTGGGTGTATTGAGAGAGACGTATGGCGAGCACAAGAATGAAATAAAAATATTGAGCTGTGATGTATCAGGTCATTTAAATAATGATCATTCAAAAAAAATTTCAAATTTGGAAACAATAGTTGTTCTAAAAGACAGTTTACTTGTAATGCCATTACATGTAAATGGTAACCACTGGGTGTTAGTGTTAGCAGATTTTGGAAATCATAAGTTCTATTTTTTGGACCCATTTGAAACTATAGAATATAACAAATGTAGACATAATTTTGTGACTATACTCGGTGAACTGAAAAAAAATCATATTTATGGAGAGGAAGGAAATATATGGCCAGAAATGAATTTTCAAATATTTTCTAACTATCCTAAACAAACCGATAGTTATAACTGTGGAGTTTATGTGTTGTACTATGCAGAGTGTATCATGAAAAATAAGATTGAAAACATTAATTTCAAACAAGACTTCAACCCAATGTTATACAGAGAGATGTTAAAAGATCTTTTGTTGGAAAAATCTGATTTCATGAGAGATATTTGTTTGTATTGTGGGCGTACGGATAAAAAACACAAAGAGATAAAAAAAGAAAATATCGATTGGGTGCAATGCGATACATGTAACAGATGGATAGTACTACAATGTTTGTCAAATGTAGGACAAACGTCAGGTTGTGACGATAATTTTGAATGTGTTTTGTGCGTATCCAATACAAAAAGTTTATAAAGTATTAGTGAGTAAATTAAAAAAGTTAGTGCAATTAAAAAAATCAGTGGAGTAGGCCTATGTTGGGAAACCACTTTAAAAATAACGCGCCAAAATACAGTACCTCCAGTTTTGTTGAAAACAATGCTAAGGTGGTGTGGAAATCTGTTAAATTGTGAATTTCAGAATAGAATAATATTCATTAAACTTGCATTACTAACTATCAACATATAATTTGTATAAGACTTATAAAACCAGATTTAACTTGCCATCCAATCTAAAAATTAAAAAAAAAAAAATTATATTTTATTATCTATCATCAACTACAGTAATTATGATAACCATTTTTAGATAGAATTGGGACACTTCATTCGTACATTTTTTATTTCAACCTTTCACATCCAATATGACGGTAAACAAATAATCAAACACTTAGGATAATAATTTTGCAGTACAACTAATGCGCAATGACTAAAATCAAAGAATATCAAAATACTTCAGCGATCCAACATGGTAATTGTTTATCCACCTAAAATACATGATAAATAAGCACTTTATTTTAAATAATATAAATTGTAATTCATTAAGGATTTAGATTATATACAATACATGATAAATTAAAAATTATAATCACTTACAGCATATATTAGACTTTAGTATCTTATGTCCTTATTATTACACATCAAAATCAAAAGATGATTTTTGCGCTTAACAGCTATACTGGAACTAACATTATTTAAATATTTCCTCTTCCATATATTCATTGAACTTGTGAATTTATACGTCTTTTGGCAGTAGTAAAAAATTAATAAAAATAATATTCTTTGAACAATGCTATACATAAAATCTGAATTAGTTAATTGGTAATATCACAGTTTATGATTACCTTTATAGAATGTTCTTCTTATGATGATGTGTTGAATTATGTGTTTTTTTATCGAACTTTGGTAGTTAATAAAAAAAAAACTATCATATTATGAATTATGGCTAATAAAAACAAGAAAAATCATTGTTGTATTACAGTTAGTTATATACTATATATTTTAAATGGTGACATTAAAACAGTTTTAAATCCCACTGATATTCGTTTTCTTACTAACAGATTGAGTTATTTTATTTATTAGTAAAATATTAGTATCCGTTAATCTAAAACTGTTTTAGAATTTTAGATCATCATATAAATGTAGTACCTAAGAGCAGAGTGACAAGTAAGTAGTAACTAGTAACTAGTAAGTAATTTATTGATGAGTATGCAACAAATTTAATATTTATAGCACAATTACAATTTACATGTACGGTCCGCTAGCAATATTTGATAAGAGAATTCAAGGGTTCCCAAAATCTATTGCTAATCGTCAATTTGTATACAAAGTTGCCTACCTTAATCCTGAAAATCTATTGCTAACGTTCAATTGTGTGTTTATTGCCTACCCGATTACCAAAAATCTATTGCTAACGTTCAATTGTATGTTTATTGCCTATCCGATTACCAAATACAATATATTGCTATATATTATGGGTATTAGAGATTCATACTTCATACATTTAGTACTTATTTGACTGTAAGAAAAATGTATTGCCGCTGTTCAATTTCTTTATTTATTAGCTTATTACACATCCAATTCTCGAAGAAATATATTGCTGTAGTATCCACTACCTAGTGTTTAATATATCATCTTTGTGACTTAGTACATTTAGAGCAAACTTACACTTTTACCAAAAACATGGTTTATGTATTTTTGCATATTTTTAATTATTAAATGGTATTGTGTATTTATGTTATACTAACTATGTTGTAATAAGTATACAACATTTTTAAAGATTTTCCATGTTAAACACTGGCTTTAAATCTGAATAGATGATGCATCGGTCATCGGTAGTACGGGTAAATATACATGATACAGTACATTTAATCAAAACAATAGTAATTATAACTAGGTACATAATATGACTTATCCATGCGGAATTCTTTCGATCAACTCGATTGAAAAAAATTTACAATTTATATTAAATTTAGTATTCTAGTATATTTGATAAAGTTACTCACGTTTTTAAAAGTGAAACATAATTTTTCATAATTAATTTTGAATAAAAATAAAAATATTTAGTAATTTTTGTGTTTGAATGGGGAAAAAATGTTAGATAATCATGAAAATGTGTGGTTTTTATATTATTTATTCGTTCTAAAGAATCTAAGCTAACTGTATATTGTCTATTTTAAAATGAAAATATGTATTGAAAGATATGCACAGAAACATGAGAAATTGGTGATATAATATACAATGCGGTTTTATACCTACAAATCTTAAAAGGGATTTATATTTATATGTATTTTGTAAACTACCTAAAAAATTCATCGTTACTTAGTTATATTAAAATTTCCCTTCCATACTTACGCACTTAACATCATGATTTTTAATAATTTTCAAAATTGAATTCAAAATATTTTATAATGATGGTAAACTAAAATGCTTTCATAATATTATGTTGTTATTTTTTTTTTATCTTATTTGCAATAGGTGCCTACTATAATTGGTTTATTTTTTATTTTTTGCTAAGCACATTTAAATCATAGGTACAATTAATGTACATTAGTACATTTCAACTAGATTCAAAATGCATTTAAATTAAGTCAAGTTTTAATATATTATAAGGTATAGGCTATATTGCTATAATAAATAATAATGAGTACTTAGAAGGACTGGAATAATAGATCAACAATAAATTTAATAATACGTTAATTCACTCTGACATAAAATAAAGCAGAGTTGAATGGATTATTCAGAAATTACAATTTGCTATGTTATCCGTTTGTAAGTCACTAAGACGGAGCCAAGTGGCAATGCATAGGTACTGGTGTAGTGACTAGTGGTGTAGCTAGTAGCTACCCAGCAAACACTAACGTATATTAGAGGTCTAATATACCAATCCATCATAGACGTAAGACATACATATTGTGATGTAAATGTAGATGTCTATGATAAGTCTAAGATTAGTCTATATGCGCCACTTTTTTAGTCTATTTGAAGATCCAATTAAAGTATCTATCATATATCATGTAGTAGATCAAATTCAACTCTTTTATAACATCTATCCATAGACATTAATTAACATTTTAAGTAGACATACCATAATTGATAAAAAATACTCCATTATATATTATATATTATTGTTTTTAGTTATATTAAATAGAACAAAAAATAATAAATTAAAACATACATTATAATCTAAAAAAATATGTAAACATACTACTTAAAATAATACTTATAATTTAAATATGACATACATTTTAGTCAATTTGTTAACATATATTTTATAAATACAATAATAACAATCATCTCTATCAAACAATTAAAAATACTTTGCAAAAAGCTTAGAATATAAATAATTTAATAATCAATCACAAAATTAGGAACTTAGTAAAATAATTTGGTATTACAGCTTTAATGGGTCCTATTAAATAGTATATATTTCTATACATTAAAATAATTTGTAATCATAATTACGTTCATTAAGAATAATTAATAGAAATTGTTATCATTAAATAATATAATTAAATTATATATATATATATTATATATTATATATTAAATAATGAAAAATATTATGGTTATGGTTAAATAAAAGGTTTAAGTGGTATGGTTAAAGTTTACGTAATGTTTTTTTGTTTAAGAGTCTGGCGAATTATTTTATTTGAAATTCTTGTCGAAGCTAATCTTAACCAATTTCTGATTTTTGTTTTGACATCATGCTCAGTTGCATCGGTATGGAAATTTAAAACAACATCTAATAGTTAACAAAACGAAAAAGAATATATAAAAAATAATTTTTGGATAAGTATAATATGTATAGATTATTATCACTCAGTGATTATCCCTATTATTATAGAATTAAGAGTCAATTCTTTAAATGGATTCTTTGCATTGTTCTTTCCATCAAAGTTATAATATTGAGCACATGTATCACTCATTACTGTTCTTAATATAGTAGTGACAGTTTCTTGTATACTATTTCGGCACCCACATTGTCTTAAGCGATTTTTCTAAAATTATAAAAGCAATTAATAAAAAGATTAAGTTTGAATTAATAATTATAAATAAAAAATTACCATTAAATGCTGTGATGCAGGATCTTTCAACTTATTTTCCATTTCAACAACATCTTCTAAGGAATTAAGTGGCAAATTGTGGAACCTGCTTCGAAATTTTTCCTGAATACTTAAGCTAGCTGGTTGGACAGTTTGATTATTGGATTGTAATAATTGTTCAAGTAAACAATTAGTGTATAGTGTTGCTTTGAACTGTTTTTGCAGTAGGTTTGCAATAGTTGATAAATTTACTAAAAATATTGATTTTAAGTTATTAGGTAGGTACATATTATTTTACAATACCCAGGTTTACCATAAAAATTAATTTACCTGTATCATTAGAAGTCGTTTCGTCTTGGGATCTTTCATCTTGAGATATTTCTCTTGCTAAAATATTCAGCTCAACTATATCTTTGTCACTATTATCTGTACAACCTAAGCAAAATATATAGAAATTAAAAAAAAACTATGTAACTTACCAAATAAGAATTGTATTAACTAAAACTAATTGTTACCAATATGATTTGTTTTATTTATTTTTTCCGTTGAGTGGTACGCTGGCTCAAACATATCATCCTCACTATCATCTGTACAACATTAGCAAAGATAGACATTTTTAAAAAACCTAGGTATACCTATGACAAAAAATATTTTGTAGAATGTAGACAGTGTCCTCTTAATGTTTTTTGAACTCATTGCTGGCGGGCTTGACACATTCATTCTGAAGATTTTGAATAAAACATATTAATGTAAAATATGTAATATATTCTAAGGCTACACTGTTCAATAGTTGTGTAATCAATATATTATGATAACGGAGTTAATCACAATCCACAGATATATAAAAAATTTTATATATCTGTGTATGTACTATAGAAGTCGGCTATCTAGTATTTTTATATATCTGTGATAGTATCTAAATCCGTGATCGCAAACGAATTGTTTTGATAATTAATGATTATCATAGATTATAATTTTCAAATTTTCAATTTACAGTTGTAAATTGTAATTGTGCTATAAATATTAAATTTGTTGCATACTCATCAATAAATTACTTACTAGTTACTAGTTACTACTTACTTGTCACTCTGCTCTTAGGTACTACATTTATATGATGATCTAAAATTCTAAAACAGTTTTAGATTAACGGATACTAATATTTTACTAATAAATAAAATAACTCAATCTGTTAGTAAGAAAACGAATATCCGTGGGATTTAAAACTGTTTTAATGTCACCATTTAAAATATATAGTATATAACTAACTGTAA